AAAACCTCGCAGGATAGCTCAACGAGTCGCGGAGGTACACAGACCGCCACACCACGGTAAGGCTCGGTCTGTTGGTTTATACACACAAAAAAGACGTTACCCACATTAGATGTTGTGAACCTCCCTATGGCCGAGACCAAAAGTCCTCTTTCTCGAGATGACCTTTGTACGGCGGAAAGAATTACTGAATGACAGGTCCGCGTGCGCCGGTGATTGGGAAGCTCCCAGAATATGCAAGGTAGGTAAATAGCAGTTAGGTAGCGCCGGGGATACGGCAAATTTCAGCTTCAGGCAAACGCTGTACCTGAGTCCATGAGGAAAAGGAATTGCGTAAGCCAATGGCAGATGATGGCATCAATGTTCCTCTTCTCCAAGGATATAACTTCTTGCGTGAGTTTGTCGATCCAAACAGACAGACTGTCGGGTTCTAGTGAGAAACTCCTTGTAATAGGCTACTTTCCAGTGTGTGACCTTGCTATTCTCGACAAATGACAGCGGCAGAACTGGAGTTTTCCAGGTTCAACACATAAAGAGGCAGAGCGTATAACATGACGAAAGAATTGCAATGACTAAATAAACCACGCATGTCAAGAGCAGGAAATGATAGAAAACTGGACCCAATCTTACCAGTGACAACGAATTCCCAAGCGAATCGAATCAGATCATGGCCATCCGGTTGAATGCTTCCAGTTGTGATTGGACAGGGTTGTAAATCTGGAAGATGACAAACGAGAAGTGTGCTGAAACATTTGAGTACAATGTGCCGGTGGTCCACGGAATGTATCGCAGTGATTTTAAAGCCACGTGGCACGCCCTGGTTTGTAATTATCCTATAGGACGAGACACGGCACGCACATCCACATAGAGCACTGTTGGGGATGTCAGTATCCCCAAAAACGGCTTATTTTTCGAGTCATTGCCAAATCATTTTTTAAAAATTTTGAACCTTAAATTTCGCGCCTTTCCGCCATGTTGCACCTCAATCCAAAAAGACCACACCCTTTTCCTATTGGCCAGTTATACTTTATGTGCACTAACTGATTTATCGCTCCCAAAGGTCACCCGCAGTATACACATACGACGTTGCTCTCGCTGTAATTCGCCTTTGGTTGAGGCAGTAAAAGCCCTCTTCTGAAGGTCTGGTCTTCTCTCTCTGCGCTAGGAGTGGTTGGGCTCGCGTCATAGCTGGGGATTCGTGCGCCCGTTCTCAGGTCGCGTATAGCCGTTGATCGTACCCGATTCCGATACATATCAAGCACCGAAGCACAAGTTGAGCGTGTGAGGGTTGGAAGCAGCTATCTGACAATCTGTTCCATCCGAACACTTAAGAGAAGGTCTGCTATGCGAGTGCCAGAGTAATAGATGTGCAGCGCTCAATTCCGGTCTTATCAGCATTCCAAGGCGAGTCACCATCATATGACTCTGTCGATCATTTCAACCATGCTTACTGTGAAGTTCTTTGTCGTGTCACTTGATTGGACTGGTCGAAAGGCTGTGTGGTAACAAAACCGTATGATTCGAAGCGAAGTGTAGTCATTGGCGCTCTCCAATGTGAAGAGTAGGGACCGAGAAAGCAAAGGTGGAATCTCGGGCCACTGAACGGATCCGAAACGTTTAGTATTAGGCATTCGATTTCCACGACGCGGATAGAACAAGCCAATGCAACGTATCAACAAAAAAAAAACTTCTAACCCGAGGCAAAAGCGTACAAGTTGTAAGCGGCAGTGAGGCACTGACCTGAAGACTGTTGAACATACATAGCAGAGGTTGGCATGAACCCCAGATCCAAATCGAAACTGTGCACCGGTTGGCTGAATCGATTCGGTTCGAAAATGTGGACTTGGCCGACATAGCCTCGTGTGCCGCCTACACATGTACCAGGAGACCCAGATGCGGCAACGACGTCAACGGGACCACGACCAATTAACCAAATTCGTGACTGAATGAGGACACCAAAAAAAAACGACTGGAGTGAAACAGTTCCCATGGGGAAAAATAAATCATCGTTAGAATTTGATAAACAATCAGGCTGAGTAAAACGCTATCGCGTGGTTGAGAAGGTCGGTTAGAGCTGCAAACTCTACAAAGAGGCAAAGAAGGGAGTAAGCATCAAAGTTCAAAAGGTCTATTTTTTAGAAAAACCCGATCAAGGATGACAAATACAAGTGTGCAGAACCTACGAAGTGAGCAACCACAAAAGGAGTTGAGTTGTCAACAGCGTCGGAGGGCAATGTGGTTAGGCTGGGAAACAAGCGGATCGGACCTGTGAGAATAAAGCGAAAATTGTTTCGAGCAGGAAAGTAGCTCACCTAGCTGACAACTGCGTCACGCCTAGAATAGTAAGAGTGACACAAACGCAGCTTTGAAAGTTAGCACTCTAGTTCGTAGGTCCTACAGATACACCAACCAGCCAACCGAGTCAATTCGTACAGGGTCATCAATACTCACACGTGAAATCTCCGGAGACTGTCATGAGAAGGAATTTTCACCCGGGGTATAAACCTGTTCCACGATGGGAAACACCCTGATTGTTCGCTATCCCTCAGATTATGCCGGAAAATCACGTATTGTGAAGGATCACACTCAGAGCAACGCTAGTCGACATCAGGAGCTATTGGTCATCTGACTTTGGATTACCACCCTTTGTCAATTAGCGTAAACGGATTTCAGAATTCACGGGAACGCGTCAGAGTCACGTGTGTTATGGAAATTTGGTTATATGAAAAGGTTGCGTGCAAACTCCCAGTGGATTTGTTAGTTAAAGACGATTTGAAAGACAATACAAACGCGCACCCTCGTACTCGAGGTCCGGACCGACGAAGTGAACATCATCATCATCGTCATCATCAACACCATCATCACCATGGGCAGCATGACATCAGTGTTCAACACCGATGCTTCACTGCCGTACAACCATAATTTATTTGAAAGCTTTATTGTGAAGAAAAGAGTAAAGGTGGATGGGGTAGGGACTTAGTGCTAGCTTAACACAATCATTCCGAGGTGCCTACACCTCCAGACATTCACTCAGGCAATCTGGATAGAAACTGACAACAAGAACGCCACTGAC